TGTGCAAAGATCAATATCTTATATTTATTTGACAATACCCTACCTCTTCTTATTCCGTTATATAGCACACCTACATACAAATTTCTCTTTTTTATTTAAATATTTACATATACTGTCTTATTCACATATATTTTTATTTTTTATTTTTCTATCTGTGTACTGTTGTTGTCTCTGTGTACTGGAAGCTTCTTTGGATGTCATCAAAACAAAATTGTGTGTGCAAACACACTTGGCAATAAAGCTCTTTCTGATTATGAGTTTGTGAGGCTTTTTTTGCTATTGCAAATGGGACTGCAAAACCAAAATAAATGCATGCACTTTTATGCTCAAAGAACCAAACCAGCTCAATAAATGGAGTCACTAAGAGCTATCTGAATACCTGACAAGAGACTCCATTAAGTTCTGCTGAGTATAGAGCATACATCTATGGATTGATTTTTACATACATTTGATGAATGTGGACTTCTGTGATAACAGCATCATCCATCTGGGCTCAGTTGAGCTGTTCAGCATGATGACATATGCAACCACTGAGCCAACTGACACTATCACTCCATATTAAAGGTATTTTCATTTTAATATAGACAAATGGAACCCAAAATAATAATATCAGAACATTTTTTAATTCATATTTTGCCTCTTTGCCTTTCTGAGTCCTTAAGCAGTGAGTTTGCAGGACATGTTGTAGTGCTTTTAATGTTTATTGTTTCTTGTGTGGACTTTTATGTTTAATTTGTTTCTGTTTCCTGTTTTCAGTTTTGTAGTCTTTTGATTCCCCTTGATTGTTTGCACCTGTGTCTTGTTATTAGTTTGTAAGTTGTTCCTCATATTATTGTTGCTTGTATTCCTACCCTTCATGTTTCCTGTTTTGTTAATCGAAATACCTGCACTTAGTTCCTCGTCTGCCTGCCTTCCTTGCCTCAATAAATAAGCCAAAGTAATGCAAAACATTCATTGCTCTTTACAACATTAGCATAATGCGGAATATTATAATATTAGCTTTGGATGGAAACTCAATTGAAATTAAAATATAAGAGACATTCCGAAGGGGAATGAAAGAAAAATGGCAAAAAATAATTTAATTATTTTCTAAACCAAACGAACCATGAAAGTGAGAACCAGTTTCAATTACACCTTCAAGATAACTTGACTAATGCCGTAAGATGATATTCACAATCACGGTGAGCCACTGAGGAAAGTCTTACATTATTACTTTGCAGGAAAAGGGAATGGCTGTGAATAAAATGTATCCATTTGGGAGTTTAAAAGCTGTGGGAATGGTGTTCTCTGAGATGCCTGCCTCATCGCAGTGATATTTGGTGCAGATAAGAACATTCAAATCCTGGCACAACACCCCCTTAGACATAATGTCTGACACACCTCTGAGATGCAGTTTCTGTTTAGTGCTTCATTCTGTAAAAAGACAACTATTTGCAAATGACATTTAGTCTCATGTATACCAGTGCGTCATAATATTGGATTTTAATTGACAACCATCATCAGGGCCCTTAAGCCGGGACACACTTAACAACTGTATTATGAATGTAATTTGATACTTACGACTGATCATGCCCAAACGTGCTGAGTCGCGTTCAGTCAGTGTTCACAGTTGGTGTTTAAAATTCGCTGCAGTCGTGGAAACAGTCTGTGAATGTGTTCAGTTTTAGCAAGTCGTTAAGTGTGTTAAACAACGTTAAGAGATTTGATTCCCAATTTCTCAGGGAATAGGCCTACGCATATTCATAAAATGGACTTTAAGCAACTTTATGTTAATTGCTTTAAATAAAAGTCTAATTCACTGCATTGATCTGAGTCCATCTACTTAGCAGTGGGGGATTTTCCAGGCTGGCTGGAGTGTAAATTAATATTGATCAATCCTGTACTCTCCATACATTGCATGAATAAAATATTGTAGTATGTTTTCCATCATGCCATTTAGCTGATAATTATGCTTCCATGCACTCTCTGAAAGCTTGAATAGCCTTGCTTAATAATGACACGTTATAATCTTTCTGATTAGCAACCCAGCACTTGTAAACATAGGAAATTGATAGAACAAATCATGCAGTAGCCTATCATTAATCACGGACCACAGCTGTCATTGTGAATGAGATTTTTCCCGGGGCCTGGATGGGGGGAGGGGACACTATGGGAGGCTCACCTAAAAAAATATGTTCCAGACTATCGCTGTGTGGTTTGAAAGAAATATTACTGTACTGAAATTTGGACATACAGTTGGTCTACATCAATCACTGTCATTGACCTATGCAGTCAGTTGCGTCAATTCACAAATCCTCTCCCGTGGCCTCATGGGATAGTAAAGTGTCCATCGAATGCACACTTCAGAATCTCGGCGGAAGTAGTAATCCGGATACTTTTCGCCCACTGTTTTTCAAATATTTGGACTACATTGTTGGTGTACTTTTTTCCCTATACTATATAGTAGGAAAGTATTCGATTTCGGACGCAGCATATGTGAATTTTATTGTTGGCTCTGCCTCAGGTAAAAGTAGGCTATTTGATAATTGTTTGTAATAATAATAATTATTCAAATAGATTAAAAAAATCAATTTAGTGACAATGAAAATGACTTGAATACCACTTCTATGATGAAAATATTTTCAATTTCTGAATTAAAAGTATGATTATTTTTAAGATGCTTAAATTAAAAAAAATACATAAAGATCAAACAATAAAAAAGTCAAGTTAAAAAGCTGGAATTTTTTTGCCAAAAATCCTCATCTTAAAAAAAAAGAGGGAAGAAGAAGCAATATCGTTTTAAAATATTAGAAATACTTGAAAACTATTTGACCTCCAAATCAATGTCAGTGTGGCATAACATGCAGGAAGCCACTTTAATATATCATGTCAGGAAAACCATAAAGGAGAGAGGACTAAGTCAAGGTCACTGTACAAGGAGTTTTAAAATATAATCACATACTGTATAGTATTTATTCTTTTCAATGAAAAAGCACATTCTATCCAGATTAAAGTAGACAGGAACGTGATGTTTATGATAAATGTAAGAAAATAAAAAAAAACTGTGTATACTCCTGTGCACTCAAAGTGCAAAGATGATACCTTATTTAATTTTTTTAATTTCTTTTTTATCTATTGATTTAAAAATTTACGAAACTACCAGGAACACAAAGAATTTCAAGAATTTTTTTAAGTATAGTTTTTACAAAAAAAAAACTATTTTTGAAGTATTTCTCCTTTTCATCATCTTGGACATCCTTATTTATCACAGAGCTCCTTTACAAGAGGCATACAATTTTATTTATTCATTTTTTGAGCCTTTTTTAAGATACATTTTTGACAGAAACAAATTACTGTGAATCATTTGCATATTCTTATTGGCCCGGTTTGCCTTTAGGCTTACCTCTTAGATTAGTATTCTGAATATAAATAAAATATTTATATCATTATACATTATATAAACATTATGAACATTAGAAAGAGTTAAAAAACAACAACATTTAATTGTAGTGCTGTAGGAGCTGTGACGGACCTCCACTGCTACTTCCAGTAGGGTACACAAGTCAGAAAAGAGGAAAAAACTTGTTAGTGCTGGGTTGAGTTCAGGGTTAAAACAATTTAGACATTGTGTTATTCGGTGCAAACCATTTACTCAGACCAATGTTAGGACTCATTATTCAGTCTGAGATTACTGTAATGGTACATATTTTGGGGGAGAGAAAACCAGCATTCATCATAGTTGCTCTCCTGAGAGCATCTAAAATGGCAGGTCATATTAATTCATCATGGAAGCTTGTATTCATCCGAAGTAAATTGGATAAAGCAATTTTTGTATGCTAACTGATGTCAAGTGATGCACTGTTCAGCATTTGTTACAAGCATGATGATGCTTATCAGACTCTGAAAACAGCTCACAGACACAACCTGATTATCTTTGCAAGTATGCATTAAAAACTATTTATTAGGAACACAAATCCAGCTGAGTCAATGCATGCTAAAAATTTAATGTAATTCATTTGAGCCTTTAGTTTAGAGTGAGTTGAGAATGTGTTCTTGTCATGTAGAGTGTTGAGGATGCTGTAGATGCAGCTATGGAAACTGTAGAATAATCTTTTTCACAGGATTCAGACCAATTGCTGTTGTAGAGCCATTGTCTCCACCGATTAGTCGAGCAACCAATCAGCCGCTGCTTTTTAAGTGACTGGTAATTGTGACCAATGTCTCCTTATGCCCTCTGGACTGTGAGTTTATGTAACACCTCAATGTCAAACTCCTATATCCTGCACTTCTTACTGTGAAAATACTATGAAAGTAAATGTATTAGTCTGATAACTTACCCTGGTATAAGGACTTATATACTGTGGTGAGTTATCAGACTAATACATTTACTATCATAGTACTTTGAAAGTTAAAAGGATAGTTCGACCAAAAAAAAAAAAAAACCCTGTTATCTTTTACTCATGTCTTTCCAAACCTGTATGAATGTCTTTATACTATTATAAGATATTTTGAAGAATATTTCAGTTGTGTTTGTCCATACAATGAAAGTCAATGGGATCCAAAACAACCCTGAACTCTACTGACTTCCATTTTATGGACCAAAAAAAAAAAAAAAAAAAGAGAGACTTTTTACAAATATCTTATATGTTCCACAGAAGAAAAAAAGCCATGCAAACTTGGAATGACACAAGGATGAGGAAATTGTGACAGAATTAAATTTTAATTAATGGGTTTATTATTCCTTTGTTAGCAGTAGCACATAGTTGTTCATCACGCAGTACAATTTAAAGTCAGGTCAGGCATATTCGTGGCAGTTCTGAAGTCTGTAGGTGTGGAGCAATAAAGCAGGGTGCCACATACAAAGCTCAGATGAATTGGTAACCGCCTCAGGCTTCAGACAAAGACAGCTGAGGCACAAGGGGCCACACAGGATGAGGGGAAATGTGCTGTCTTGTATCAATGCTTTTGCTATTCCCAAACTGAAGTATGGATACACAATGAATGACTGCTGCAGCATAGACTACATATGAAAATCTCAGGGTTTTTACTTCACCGTGCAAATAAAACATAATTTTGGAGACAATGCAGAACAATTATAACCCAGTATTTCATTCCAAATGTAACCCTTCCATCTCATATCGTGAAACAATGCACTTCAAATATATACTACAAACCCCTTAAATTAAAAACCCATTTCCCAGCTGGAAGCTAATTTACGTTCATTATTGGATCCATACTTCTTAACCTTATTACACATGTACTCATTGCAGACAATACCAATGAGTACACAGCAAATCTCGAAAAATCCTTTGGTAAAAAATGTGCCACAGCTGTTGTTGTCTTCATGGGGTCTGTGATGTGCTCTCTGATGATATTGATTCATACTCTCTGTGAACATCTAAGCAGCCGAAGAGGGACTCTAGAATGTTCAGTACACTGTTCTGGATGGAATCCACTTGTTCCGCTGGGCAATACTCATCCAAACTGGATCTGACAAGAAATTGAAGAAAAATTTAAATCTTATTGTATATTACAAGATGGAAATTATATCAGCTGATTTCATATATATATATATATATATATATATATATATATATATATATATATATATATAAACAATAGTACACGTACACACACTATTGTTCAAAGGTTTTTGGCCAGTTTTTCTTTTGTTGTTGTTGAAGAAATTAATACTTTTATTCATCAAGGACATTCAATTGATCAAAATGGACACTAAAAACTTGTATAATAATAATAATACATTCTTGTTCTTTTGCATTTTCTATTCATTAAAGAATCCTGAAAAAAGTATCATGGCATCCACAAAAATATTAAGCAGCTCAACACTGGTAAAAATAAATGTTTCTTGAGCAGCAAATCAGAAACTTACAGTGATTTCTGAAGGATCACGTGACGTGACACTAAAGACTGGAGTAATGATGTTGAAAATTCAGCTTTAGCATACCAGGAATAAATTACATTTATGCAATAATATTTAACAATATTACAGTTTTTAGTGTATTTTGATCAAATAAATGCAGCCTCTTTAAGCATAAGAGTCTGTTTTCAAAAACATTTCAAAATCCTCAGACTTTTGAAGTGTATAATAAATACATATTAAAATATTACTAATATTTCACTAATATATACATAATTATTATTATAATTTTAACACAGGTCCTCTTGCATTGTGGTTAGGAGGACCATCACTAGTGGCCACTCAAAAAATAACTAAAAAACTAAAAAGAATGGTGCATGTCGGCCATGGTGATGCACCATCAGTCAGAGAACTGGGTATTAAAAGATAATGAAAAATATTCTCATGGACCATGAAGGGTTGAGCTCCCCCTGACTCACAGAGATAAGAGGGTGATTGATGAGTGTAATGTTGAGTCTATTCTCATTAAAAAACACACTAACAGATCACTGAGACACAAGTCTCACATAACACCATCTGTCTCAACTGCACAGATACAAGCATCTGCTTTTGGGGCATCAACCAGCCAAAGAACATTCATTAAATCATAAATTTCAATGCTAATTAATGCAGACTGAAAAGAAAACAAGAAATATGATTTTCTGATGCTTCTCTGAAGGGAAAAAAACAAAACCAAATGCTGTTAAACCTAGAGGATGTAACAAATCATTAGAGAAAGATTAAAGGACCCAATGTACTTTTCAAAAGGAGACACAGAACAGACAGCTATGAGCTCTAATGACTGATGTACCGTGATATAGTGACAATGGTGGGCTTGGGCAGAGCTTCCAGGAAGAGCTGCACGGCCGTGATCATTTGCTGGATCTCCTCCTCACTGCTGATGTGGTGAGGGAGTTCAGAGAAATCACAGGTCAAGCCTGCTTGATGCACCTAGATTCAACACCACAGGCACAAATTATATCAGTCTGTGGCGCTGGCAACGTGCCTCAGCACTACAAACCAAATGAAACAAATTTGTTATCATTCACGTTCTATTTGGGGACCCTCAATACAGGGTTCCTACACATTTTCCATTCCAACATATTTCCAGTCTCAAATTTACGAACCTCTGTAGACTTTTTTTTAGACCATATTTAAAGGTGCATTGCGCAAGTCTCTGAGTTTTTGCAGAACTATGCCCCCTCTGGTGACAAGCGAAACTGCAACCAGAGGTGTGCACACTCATGGACCACACGCATACGCACGCTTGCACGAGCACGAGCTGTTCATAACCAAAGGAGCATCAGCCGCACAAATCTTTTGTTTACTGTCATAATGTATTCAGAGGTAATAAAGTTATAAATCTGCAAGTCATTTTAAATACCGTATTTTCCGCACTATACGGCGCACCGGATTATAAGGCGCACCTTCAATGAATGACCTATTTTAGAACATTTTTCATATATAGGGCGCACCGGATTATAAGGCGCATAAGATACTGCAGTCAAACGTTTGACTGGGTTTGTGTTATGCATCCACTAGATGTGCTAAAGGGAATGTCAACAAAACAGTCAGATAACTTTATTAAGCGTTCTGACAACTCCGTTCACTCCCATGGTAACGTTGTTCAAACGTTAAAGGAGAACTCCGGTCAATTTTAACATTGAGCTCATGTTTTTGTAAATTTGGAGTGCTGTCAGTAGGCAGATAACAACGACAAAAACCGGTGTTGCCTACACCGTGTAATCCTCTTTTTAAAATGTGCACCCTGTTGACTTAAACGGGGCAAGTTTTAAACCTGCTTTTAGCCTCTTAACAACCTTAATCTGTCATTACAAGTGCACAGCCATGTGAGTGAACACGGTGAATCTGACTGCGGTAAATGTGAAAGATATGAATAAAAATTATGTTTATTCAGCCAGCTCACATACCCGTATTTTCTTCCTGTTTTCGGTCAAAGTCCACAGTAGGCGATTGTCGAGTGCGCGCGCGCGATCATTGGTAACTAAGCAACAGTGGAGACTCAGACTGTCAGCTGTCAGCCGATGACGGTGCTGTGTGGTGTTCTGAGAATATCAGCTCAAATGAATAGTTCATCCGAATCCGATGTTGAACACACGGAGGAGGTTTGATCGCGCGCGCGCGAACTCGACAATCAACTACTGTGGACATCGACCGAAAACAGGAAGTAAATATGGGTATGTGAGCTGGCTGAATAAAGAGATTATTCCTGCCTTCGTGAAAGCTCGGATCACAGTTGAGACTGATATATCAGCCCAGGCATCCACGATCCATTGGCAGATAGTGGCGTAAGTCGCCCGGCGCTGTCTCCCCGTCTTGGTGAACGTGTGTTCACCATCCATATATAAGGCGCTCCGGATTATAAGGCGCACTGTCGTGTTTTGAGAAAATTAAAGTTTTTTAAGTGCGCCTTATAGTGCGGAAGATACGGTATATGAAAGGAAAGGCATTTGAGTAAATTACACACTTATGTGTGAGGGGAAAACGGGGGTAGTAGAAAACTTCGGTTTTTGTTTCCATCTATCTCCATGTTGAACTGTTTTATGTGTTTACTGTATCCACTTATGATTGTATTATTATGGAAACACGTTCATGAAAAATATAAGTTATTACTTTGTATAAGCCAACTGAGGATCCCGTTTGAGCCCTAGAGCAGACCGGAGATCTCTCCATTTGTTGAAAGCCTTCCCGATGTTTACTCTCGTCTTATTCCGACGCCTGTCTGACTCCAATTTGGCCCTTTTGGTGGCACTAGACAAAAGTTTTCTTTTCTTTGTCTTACGTGGAGTTTGCGTTGGGGGTTGGAATGAACTACAAGCCGGTCTCTTAGAATCCATCTTCTACTTTTGTCGAAAGTTGACTAAAGTTTTGTCGCTCGAGTTGTCTTCGCTGATACGGAGAATGGCGGCGAATACACAAACCTGTCAGACATAGCCAGGTGAGCGTGAACGCGCATGACGTCACGCCCAGTCTCACGTTCCGGCCCGAATCCCTCTTATTTATTTTACTGTACAGGATTATAGAGGCAATCGCAGTGATCAGAGAAGGGCTCATTCAGCCCATCAGGCAATTGTTTAAGCATGTATGGGTTAGAAAAACGGGTATTTTTAACATGAAATGTTGCGCAATGCACCTTTAAAGGTGCTCTATGTAACTTTTCTACTAAAATCAATCCTTTTTTTATTGCCTGTGTGTGAAGGGGTTGCAATCACACATTACAATGATCCACTTGTCGAGTTTTGCTATTACCTCTGAAGGCCAGTATTCCTATTTCTATGTGAAGTCTCCGGGTCGGATTTACCGCGAAATCCAACGGATGTGACGTGCATGCGCGCTCCCGAGCCTGTCTCCTTATATACAGTCTATTGTAGACGGTCAGGGAGTTACGTCCGGTTAAAGGCGCACGTTTTTCGGCTTATATCTCAGTCAATCTTTGATCAATATTCCCAAGACTCTAATCGTTCGTAGTGCTGGACGGGGCCTTTCGAACGAGCCCACCCCCGAGGTCCAACTCGCCCGGCTCCCCGAGTTATAGCCGTTCGAAATCGGGGGTCCCAGGGAACGGCGATCCGGTAGGGGGCATCCCCGAGGCCCGCCACTCTATCGTTCGGGCAAGGGTTCCCCTGGGACCTCCTCCCCCGAATTTGAGCTCTCTGGGTCTTTGCGTTCCAGAGATACGAGCGATTTTCTTCTGAGATCGTGACGTCACCGGCGTCCGCAATTTTGCAGCGCGCTCGATGGTTTTCTGCTAATATCTCCGCGAAAACACCACCAAAAACTATGGAACTTATATGGTTCTTTTCAGCTCGACTAGATGGTCCCAACGAGCTCGGTGCTCGCCGAATCCGTCAAGTATTCGCCGAGATATTTGCGTAATAGACGGTATTGTCTAGGAGTTCGAGCACGAGCACTCTTGTAAAATTTGGTTGCAATCTGAAACATCACCACTAGAGGCCGCTAAAAGTTACGTAGAGCACCTTTAACAAAAACAGTCCATACAGCATTATATTTGATATATAGTACAGCAATCTGAAAATATTTTATTTTCTGTGTATTTTTTTTCATTGGTTTTCTTGAAGTGATAACATGAATGCACTTACATGATCAAAAGAAACCTAAAACGCTTTATAGCATCCACATATTCACCTCTGACACATCACTTTTATATTGTAAATGCGGTTTGATGTTGCACGATCACCAGACAGCAAAGTACAGTCGGATTTCGATGATTGTTTGTTCCTTTATTTGTTACTGGTTTGAGTGGCACATGCACATTCGTTTAGTGAAGTTCAAAAGCGACTCGCAGTTTTGCGTAATGAAAATGTGAGCCTTGAACTCATTCAGTCGTGTTTGACAATTACTAAACGATCACTACATTTTTGCCATGAAAACACTCTGCTTGTATGAAACAACTGCGTAGGAACCCCGTCAAGAGCTCAAAAACATACTTAAAGGGTTAGTTCACCCAAAAATGAAAATTGTGTCATTAATGACTCACCCTCATGTCGTTCCAAGCCCGTAAGACCTCCGTTCATCTTCGGAACACAGTTTAAGAGATTTTAGATTTAGTCCGAGAGCTTTCTGTCCCTCCATTGAAAATGTATACACGGTATACTGTCCTTGTCCAGAAAGGAAATACAGACATCATCAAAGTAGTCCATGTGACATCAGTGGGTTAGTTAGAATTTTTTGAAGCATCGAAAATACATTTTGGTCCAAAAATAACAAAAACTACGACTTTATTCAGCGTTGTATTCTCTTCCGGTTCTGTTGTCAATCCGTGTTCAGTGACGCTGCTGACGTGTTATCAGTGCGCCCGAGCTTCGTTTACAGTCTGAGGGAGACGCACGCTGTAAACAAAACAATCTTCGCAAACATGTCTAAGGATTTCGACACAGAGGAAGACTTGCATTTTTTTGCCCAGCCATATTTATTTGAACCCGAATACACGGACACACCAGATACACGTCAGCAGCGTCTTATGTCATCAGCGTCACTGCGGACTCGTGAACACGGCTTGACAACAGAACCGGAAGAGAATACAATGCTGAAGTCGTAGATTTTGTAATATTTGGACTAAAATGTATTTTCGGTGGTTCAAAACATTCTAACTAACCCACTGATGTCACATGGACTACTTTGATGATGTCTTTATTTCCTTTAAGGACAAGGACAGTATACCGTACATACATTTTCAATGGAGGGACAGAAAGCTCTCGGACTAAATCTAAAATATCTTAAACTGTGTTCCGAAGATGAACGGAGGTCTTACGGGCTTGGAACGACAAGAGGGTGAGTCATTAATGACATAATTATCATTTTTGGGTGAACTAACCCTTTAACAATTAAGTATCAGGCTGATACTTCATTATTTTTCCTCATCACTGCAAAACATTCTTTTTTAATCAGTATTGTGTATCTCATTTTTCATTAAAAATATCTAAACATCTTTGAAACAAGATATATTTACTTGTTTTTAGAAAGTAAAGTATATCTTGAATTACATTTATTTGTCTTAAGGTTTTATCATAAACTATATATATTATATTTTTCTTGTCATTTCAATTGACAAGGATGCTTTATAGATGTTTCAAACTTGACAACATACCTCAAACATCTTCCATCAAAATGTTTTACATTGTTTATGTTTGGGCTCTCATATGACTCAGAGATGTTAAGCATGAATAAATGCAATGAATTTTCATGTTGAGATTTGCTGACAAGTATTCACACTGCAGCAATACACTCCTGACAGCTTATTATTTTTTATTTATTTATTTTTTAACATTGTTCAATTTCAACTTGACCCCAAGCAGAAACAACGTGACTAGAATGGATATTTGAATGGACATTTCTGAAAACTGCATGCATGCTCTACAGTAAAATAGACGGATATCATCTTCCAACTGGGTTACAATTATGCCAGACGAACTTTTAAAAAAATCTGAAGGTAAAATAAGAGGAAACTAATTCCATTTTTAGACAAACATCAGTGTAGTCTCTGAAAGCTTAAGAACTATTTGAGATATCTGGAATTACAGACATTTCAAACATGATTAAAACACACAAACACACACACACACACACACTTCACCATTTCATAGTCCGGTGACTGTGTCCGATTCTTAAGGCTGTGTACAAGTCTGACAAGAGATTTCATTCTGCAAAGAAAGAAAAGTGAAAAAAAAATAATAATCATGTCATCTCCTGCTTGATCAAAAGCCCATTGACCATATACCAATCAATCAAGTCCAATGGTGTGCTGATATGGAGCTATAATAAAAAATCACAGAGCCTGTGGCTCTACATTCTCATTGAGATCAGTAATGCATACCTTGGGTTTGCTGCTAAACGTTCAACAGTTTCCTGGCTGTCATCCTCCACCAGGTCAGCAAATGCAGCCTCCAGATCTTCGAGCTGGTGTGTGCGTCTCTCTACACAATCTAAAAGCTCCTCCTGAAAAGCAACAAATGGAACTGTAAGGACCACCTTGGTAGTACCTGTATTTGCCACCTTGGAATACGTCTCGGTTACTAATGTAACCCTCGTTCCCTGAAGGAGGGAACAGGAGACATCACGTCGACGTCACGTCGAACGTGAGGGACTGAAAGGGAACGTCTCGGTTACTAATGTAACCCTCGTTCCCTGAAGGAGGGAACGGGAGACGGCACGTCGAACGTGAGGGACTGAAAGGGAACGTCTCGGTTACTAATGTACCCCTCGTTCCCTGAAGGGAACGTCGACGTGACGTCGAACGTGAGGGACTGAAAGGGAACGTCTCGGTTACTAATGTAACCCTCGTTCCCTGAAGGAGGGAACGGGAGACGTCACGTCGAACGTGAGGGACTGAAAGGGAACGTCTCGGTTACTAGGGGTGTAACGGTATATGTATTCGTATTGAACCGTTTCACTTCGAGGCTTCCGGTTCGGCACGCATACAAACCGAACGATATTGGACCATTTTTCCTGCCGACAAAATTTGCGCTGGCGCGATCACCACAACGTTGCGCAACATCAAATGGCAAACGTAATGAAAGCGGAACGAAACTGCGCTACTCATTATGTGCTTCACGGATCGTTTATCAGTTCGGAGCAGCAACATCTGTGCAGCGCGAGCCGATCTCGATCAAGCGACACTGTTACTACACAGCGCTAAGAGATCCAGTAAAGAAAACATTTGAATTCGCCACTGAAGTAATAACATCGCTGCGAGATCTAGTGAGAAGCATTCACATTTCTCCGTTATTAACCGTAGATCTCTATTAGATTAAACAGCGCTGACGTGGACACCAGGAGAAACATTGTGCCGTGAATGAACTAGTAATACTTTACGTCCACAGACCAGCAACATTCACCATGGATTTAATATAGTAACACTAACTGTAACCAGTTTGGCTGGAATAGTGAAATGCTTTCAAGTACTTCACACATCTTTTTCCAGCACTTCAAAACTCAAATAATATATAAATAAATATACACTCACCGGCCACTTTATTAGGTACCCCATGCTAGTAACGGGTTGGACCCCCTTTTGCCTTCAGAACTGCCTCAATTCTTCGTGGCATAGATTCAACAAGGTGCTGGAAGCATTCCTCAGGGAGTTTGGTCCATATTAACATGATGGCATCACACAGTTGCCGCAGATTTGTCGGCTGCACATCCATGATGCGAATCTCCCGTTCCACCACATCCCAAAGATGCTCTATTGGGTTGAGATCTGGTGACTGTGGAGGCCATTTTAGTACAGTGAACTCATTGTCATGTTCAAGAAACCAATTTGAAATGATTAGAGCTTTGTGACATGGTGGAAGTAGCCATCAGAGGATGGGTACATGGTGGCCATAAAGGGATGGACATGGTCAGAAACAATGCTCAGGTAGGCCGTGGCATTTAAACGATGCCCAATTGGCACTAAGGGGCCTAAAGTGTGCCAGGAAAACATCCCCCACACCATTACACCACCACCACCAGCCTGCACAGTGGTAACAAGGCATGATGGTTCCATGTTCTCATTCTGTTTACGCCAAATTCTGACTCTAACATCTGAATGTCTCAACAGAAATCGAGACTCATCAGACCAGGCAACATTTTTCCAGTCTTCAACTGTTCAATTTTGGTGAGCTCTTGCAAATTGTAGCCTCTTTTTCCTATTTGTAGTGGAGATGAGTGGTACCCGGTGGAGTCTTCTGCTGTTGTAGCCCATCCGCCTCAAGGTTGTGCGTGTTGTGGCTTCACAAATGCTTTGCTGCATACCTCGGTTGTAACGAGTGGTTATTTCAGTCACTGTTGCCCTTCTATCAGCTCGAACCAGTCTGGCCATTCTCCTCTGACCTCTGGCATCAACAAGGCATTTCCGCCCACAGAACTGCCGCTCACTGGATGTTTTTTCTTTTTCGGACCATTCTCTGTAAACCCTAGAGATGGTTGTGCGTGAAAATCCCAGTAGATTAGCAGTTTCTGAAATACTCAGACCAGCCCTTCTGGCACCAACAATCATGCCACGTTCAAAGTCACTCAAATCACCTTTCTTCCCCATACTGATGCTCGGTTTGAACTGCAGGAGATTGTCTTGACCATGTCTACATGCCTAAATGCACTGAGTTGCCGCCATGTGATTGGCTGCTTAGAAATTAAGTGTTAACGAGTAGTTGGACAGGTGTACCTAATAAAGTGGCCGGTGAGTGTATATTTAAATGTTATTTTTAATGTGATGACCAAAACATTATTTGTTCATCCTTCAAAGATTACCCCCATTTATAAACCTGAAAGTTTCAAGATGTAGGAAAACTCAGTTATTTAAAAATATTTTTTCTTTTAACAAATAGGAAATTTCTCTGGCATTTCTTTCTTTTTGCTGTATCGAAAACATACCGAACCGTGACTTTAAAACCGAGGTACGTACCGAACCGTGATTTTTTTGTACCGTTACACCCCTATCGGTTACTAATGTAACCCTCGTTCCCTGAAGGGAACGTCGACGTGACGTCGAACGTGAGGGACTGAAAGGGAACGTCTCGGTTACTAATGTAACCCTCGTTCCCTGAAGGAGGGAACGGGAGACGTCACGTCGACATCACGTCAAACGTGAGCGACTGAAAGGGAACGTCTCGGTTACTAATGTAACTCGGGGAACGTCGATGTGACGACGTAATTGGGATCCCAATTATGTCGTCACGTCGAACGTGAGCGACTGAAAGGGAATGTGCCTTCTTTTGTGTCCTGTATTCTCCATAATACAATGAGGTCCAAAAGCCAGAGACCACATTGAACATAGAGGATAGCATTTATACCTTGAAATAAACAAAGTTCTTATTGAATTTAAAACCTGCATGAAAAATAAATGTTTAAGATTCTACATTATTTCTATGCGACTAATCAAAATTAAGTACATTACTGTTTGGGATCAGTAAGATTTTGGACACTAAATTAATCAAAAGTAACAGTAAATACATTTATAATGTTAACAAAGATATCTATTTCAAATAAATGCTGTTCTTTTGAAAAAATACATATCAAGGTATCACAAAATCAGCATATTAGAATGATTTCTGAAGGATCATGTGACACTAAAGACTGCTAAAAATTCAGCTCTGCCATCACAAAAATTAATTCGTTTTTAAAATATATTAAAATATTAGTGCAGTGCATTTTACTGAATTTATTATCAAATAAATGCAGTCTTGGTAAGCATAAGATAATTCTTTCATAATCATTTAAAAAATATTACCAACCCCAAACGTTTGAATGGTAGTGTACGCCAACTGTACGTTTGTGATTGTGACAACACTAAGTAATTTAAGTTTACCTCTGAATCAACTCACTCACATTGTCATGCTGATAATATAATTTGCAATTAAAATAGTTTTAAACTAGAAAAATGCAAAACAGATGCATTTTCCCTAGAATTTGTCAGCATTCAAATGTGATAAGATAATAAGATGTCAACAATTCAAGCACAAATGATAAAACAGTTCTCAACGATTTTGATAAAAGCTGTTGTAACAGCCAATATATACACATTTTTTACCGCACATCAGTTGAATTAAACATTAACTTGGAGAGTTCAATCAATCAATCAATCAAACTTCATTTATAAAGCACTTTAAAACAACCGTAGTGGACCAATGTGCTGTAAATAAAAATAAATAAAAGACATACTGTACATATAAAGCATATAATACAAATAAAACAAATCAAGAGACATAAAACATAGGAAAAATAAGGAGTTGTCAAAACATTATTGTTGTTGCCGCCATAGTTTTATAAAAGTGATGTCAAAAAAACAAGAGAGATTTAGCTTCACTCCCTGAAGGTGTCTAGGAATGTCTAAAGCCTCACAGCTGAACGAATGCCTCAAGATTAGTTATGGTACATTTGATTAGGAATCTTCATTACCTCATTTGGATCCGGCTGTGGCCTGCTAAAGCTGAATAACTCTTGAAGAAGATCATACTCTTCCTGTAAGATGACAACAGTGGAAAACAGACATTGAATATAGATATAAATAGATATATAAAGATATTGACTCCATATGAGTCGTGAAGAAACCATTTCCATTTAAACCATGGAATCAATACCTTCCATTTGTCTACAAAGCTTTTTCTATATCAGTGTGTAGGTGTGAGAATGTATGGAAAGTTCAATGTTATCGCTTAAGGAACAACAAAAAAGACTATAATGATGTGTGTGCTAGACTCACTCTACCTTTGTATACATCTCCTTGAAAGGGTTCTTACAGGAGAAAAAATCCAAGTCAATGTCAAGTATGAAAGGGTCAGTTTGCTCTATAACTGCTAAAAGCTTGTCAGTGATGTAGCTTGTTGACCCCTCATCAGCCTTCATGACTGTGTCAATGACGTCTCCTGATGCTGTGCTGCTATCAAGCGGTTGAGAAGAGGAAGTGCACGGGGTGTCTCTTTTGAACGGCACATCACCGCCTTCCTTTACAGCTGCTTTGGGTATTTTAGCACCGCTTTGTCCATTTGTATGCTTCCTTTTCTGCAAACTGTTGGCAGGATCCACTCGAATGACATCTAAATGTAATTTTTGGGGGTTTTCCAGCTGATCCAGCGGAACGTAAAGAGCGTCACTCAAAAAGTAATCGTCTCTGCTTGTCACCCTGCAAAGAGAAATCGATTTCTTATGAATGTTTTTTTTTTAAACACGATTCTAACAGTACAATTTTTCCTGACAGGGTGGAGGTCTCATTCTTATTAATAGTAAATGAAGGTCTGCTGCCATCTCATGGCTATATGCTGATCTGCTGCACCTGACCTGATGGTGGTCGTGGATGAATCTCTCCCCACACACATGGAGTGCTCCCCTTCTTTGATCTGCTGAGCCCAGTACGGATGCAGCCAAGCTACATGGGATACGTGTCCAGCATAGACCATTGGCATAATCCAATTCTCAATGCTCAGCTCACTGCAAGAGCAAACAAAAACACGTCAACCGTATATTCAATGTGAACACATACCAGTGGGGTTTAGTCAAGTCAAGTCATCTTCATTTATATAGCGCTTTTAACAATGGATTGTTTCAAAGCAACTTTACAGAGATAAACATATAATTTAAGGTAACAGAGATTGTTTTGGTTTTATAGCGGTTCTTGAGTAATGTTATTTCCAGCTAAAGTTAATTTTAGTCTCAACAGCATGAACTGCCTTTTTAAAGTTTCTCTGATTCTAATAGACGGAGGAGTATTCCTGTTTTTTATTCATTTGTACAGGCATTTATGGGTGTCTCTTTAACTATGAGCACAATGGCTTTGTAGACACTGGCATCATAGATATATACACTAGATGTCGCCTTGGGGTTCTAAGCATGCGTCAAAACCGCCGCCATCTTGGAACAGGGGTCTTGTCATAGGAAGTAGCTAGGTAACGCTGCTATCTCCGCCTGTACTTCGAATTCATGGATTTTCGGACTTTTGTGCTGCGTATGGATGTTCACACAAACGAAATCTGAACTAGGAAGAATGAAAAAAAAAAAAAAAAATTGTTTAATTTTCTCTAGACTCAATGATAAATACATGATGTCTGACCATTGGAACGAACCAAAAAACTAGAAAATCGCATTCATGACGATTTATGGTGATTTTATATCCGTTAGACCTTTGCCTACATTGACGCTTATGCATTAAAGAGGAGGGGCTCCCCTGTTCCATGATGGCGGCTCTATTGACGCATTCGTTCCAATGAACTGCCGTAGCCAAGGCGACATCTAGTGTATATATCTATGCACTGGCATGAAGCAGAAGTTGGGGTAGTCTTTTCTTCACTACTGTGACATATCCAAGTCCATATCCATATATCCAGCATCTCAATTAAGAAAACAATGTAGGGTGGGACTTGATTTTGTCCATTGGAAATGGAGTGATCCCACCCTCGCGCCTGTAAACAAGTCATCAGAGAAGAGTCGATGCAAGAGGGAGGGGAAGTTATTTTGATTAAAGATTATGAGGGCACATGAAATGAAAAAAAAATAAATAAAAATAAACATAATGATGTGCACATATAAATAATTTATAATAAATACAACAATATACCATAAAATAATAAGAATGGTCAATTTTGATTTCATGGTGACTTTGACAAAAAAGCCCAACAGTGGACCATTCTGTGTCTGTTAGTGTTGCACGGTGCACCGATACTTCAAAAGTATCGCGATACTCGGAAATTAAAAACTTCACGATACCTAAATTTATTAGTATCGATACTTATAAGAATGACCGCGTTCCAGATTTGTAAGAGAGTATTGCATGTTGGTGTGTGCAACGCACGCTTCCAGTGCCTCCCTATGGACGTCTGTGTTTTTCTCCTCATGCGCGTGTGACAGGGCGCGTGAACTGAACGAGCAGAGAGAGAGAGAGAGAGAGAGAGAGAGAGAGAGAGAGAGAGAGAGAGAGAGAGAGAGAGAGAGAGAGAGAGAGAGAGAGAGAGAGAGAGAGAGAGAGAGAGAGAGAGAGAGAGAGAGAGAGAGCGAGCCCCGGTCGCGCGCGCGCACTCTCTCTCTCTCTCTGCGGAGCCAGGCGAAAGTATAAACAAGGCTTCACCGTCTCAAAACTAAGCGCTGTCTTGCTCTCTCTCTCTCCCTCGCACATATTAATCAAAATAATTCGACACGATGGTAAGGTCGGGAGACTAAAGTTTCATGTGGAGCATTCGGAGTTTTTTTTCTTTTTTTTCTGAATTACCGCTGGGTGTAAATTGTGGTAAAATACGTTGCCTTATCTTCTCTGAATCGTTCCGCACATTCAGCTGACATAAACCACACTTTAAATAAACGAAAAAAACTATCCAGTCATGAAATGTTTTCTGTGATGACAGTGGGATGTAACCGCCTGGATAATCACACAACGCGCACACGTCCGATAATGACACGTGCAATTCGCGAACTAATGACTCATTTGAACCGATTCGTTTTAATGAATGGTTAAAACAACTGATCTGTCTGAATCGGTGTATAACTAATCGTTAACACTTTGTAATAAGGTTTCATTTATTACATAAATTACATAAAACAAATAAAAACACTTGTTTTTTCCCCCAAAAAGCATATGACTACTTTTTTCCACACAATTAATGCTATCATGAATCGATAAGAGAATCGTTAAAGAATCGGATCGATAAGCAGAATCGTCAGTGGCATTGATATTGATAAAATCTTATGTTTCTTATGATAACTGAGATAATGCTGCTAAATTTATTTATTTTTTTACCTTGAATGTCATTGCTCTAATTTATTTTTTATATTTTTCATATTTCATATTTTGTTCAAATGGTTATTATAGCCTATCTGCTGTTCAAATGTTCATTTATTAGTGTGTTATGATTGGAATGTTGTCCCAGTTTTAAAATAAAGCACAGCAATGATATTTGAGAGTGTTTCTCCCTTTTCAGGAAAAGTATCGAAAAAGTATCGAAATCGCAATTCTTGACTTGGTATCGGTATCGAAACAATAATTTTGGTATCGTGACAACACTAGTGTCTGTACTGATTTGTCAACTTTGTAACAACTCATAAAAACCATAATCAAACATTTTCATTACTTGAAATAAAATAAACGTAAAGTTGAAATATAAAAAAATGTGAATTTATTTTATTTATTCTAGTTCCAAGGCAACATTTCCGATAATAAAAACTATATAAACATAAAAAAAAAAAAAAAAAAAAAAAAAAAATTACAAAAACAGACAACACAATACTAACACTAACTAAAATGAAAATATAAAAATAAAAACTAATTAAAAAATTAATAAAAACTAAAATAACCATGCTTTGTAATTTCTCTTAAGATCATGACCATTTCCACCATATATAGCACAAATATATTATTATAATAATATATTTTTGGAATAAAATGGATGACTTAAATATTTATTTTCATTTTTGAGGGGGGATAATTCTTAAAACTTGATTGGAAATGATGAATAACACAAATATATACAAAACTAATTTTTTTAAAATATATATATCCTATTTAATATATCAGGATAAAAAAAAACTGTACATAAAATGTATTTTACAAATTAAAAAGTAGCAAAAATACATTATAATCTCAGTAAAATGTTTCCAAGATTAATTAAAAATAATTAAATCTGTTTTAATTAAAAACAAAACCCCTCTGATCTAAAAGAGTCCAAAGTTGATGAAAAACTCACCTGAGCAGAGTCTCTTTGTCATACACCGTATCAGCAGGCATATTCACAGGGATGAGGAGATCAGGATGTGAGTCCAAATGGACCATTTTAATGTCTTTCATGGGAATATGTTTAGAGCCGATGGCACGATATATGTGTTGTACAACCTAAAACAGGTGGAAATTACATTTCAATAACGCTTTACACGTTTAGTAGGTGATATATCATTCAAAACCTCCGTCTTATTTTCTTTTATTGTTTATATAATGCAGTTATTTACAGTAGTTGGAGTTAGACTTAAAGCCCCAAATCAGTAAGGACTGAAGTTATGTCCTGTCGTGTCTACCTCATGATGATCTTCTACAATCCACACGGGTAGTTTAGGATACACGCGTTTCTGCGGAGGAGTGCTCATTTTTTCCCCAAGAGTGGTTATTAATTCCTGTCTTGTTTTAAACTATAACAGCATTGTAAGATTTATTAGGTTTATGATATGCCGCTGCAAGTGGTGCACTGTGCGTCCTTGTTTTTCAACCGGGTGGAAACAACTCGAGCAAGTTTTGAATTCCTACGACAGCCAGCCTGAGACAAGGTAGGCTAATGTAAATATATTCAGATAAATGTTTCTGATTTGAATGATGTGGCGGCGATAAAATGGCAAACATCTGTGTACCACAGAGGAAAGGAAGTAACACATGTAAGGAACAGCATGGGGTTGATACTGTAGTAAATCAGAAATATTATCCAGTGGCTACGCTATTTTTAATAGCCATTTCATCTGAATATCAACGTGAGATTTAGTCAGTCGAAACAGTTTTGAGGTTTCAAAATTGATCCAATTTTGTGTCTCTAAAAAATAGTGATCTATGACATTGTATTATGTTGAATATCAAAGTTTTTTTTGTGTCTATTAGTTAATAATGGATTTGATGAAACATGTTTTTAGATTTGTGGAGTAAAAGTTATATTAATAATGAATAAGTATTGTAATTAATGAGGTTATTATTCAGTATTTCCATGAATTATACATTTCAGACATATTTGCTTTCATTAAAACCTATTGGTTAGTTGAGTGAAATCATTCAATTTGCATTCATAGTGTTGCTATTATGACAATCTTCAATTAAAATATGGCCAATTATATGCCTGTATAAGCCAAAGAATAATTTTACTTTTCAGATGAATCTCTTTCACTGTGCTTTGTCTGTCATCGGTTATTCAATTATTATTTGAACTAAATTGTCAATATAAAATTTTAAATGCAATAGTTTATTTAGCCTAGTATTCTACATTAATGACACTTGAAATATATATAAATATTAATAAGAAATATATCAAAAGTAATTTATTCATTCTGTAAAAGTTTATGCAGGGTGGCTTCTTACTCCCCTATTAATATTTTACATTGTGTGCTATAACAACTAAATTGGCAAATATTTCTATTTATTTCCTATTACACATTGGCTGATGCATCATCATCCTGTATGCTAAATGTATATCTAAAAATGTTAAAAGGATTAAAAGTAAACGTTTAAAAGTAAATCCACATTATTCTGTGGATCCACATTAAAAGTAAATCCACATTATAAGGGGGGTGTCTTCCCAAATCTTACCCTATAGGCTACCTTATGGCAGAAAACAGAATCATCAACCCTTTTAAAGGTAAATCACTTTTCATTTACATCGCAGTAATGGATACTGAGGCTAAAATAAAAACAGGGTTTTATTAAAGACATTAACCCACGCATAACTTCACTGTTAGAGAAAAAGAAGTAGGCCTATTTTATAGGTATACAACTATGTATATGTGGCTGGGGCAGTACCCTGAAAAGCTACTAATATGTATTATATAAGCTACTAATATGCACCCATTCGAGGGTACCTTTTTCTGACAATTTTTTTTCTGTCATCCATGTTAATTAAAGTAACCTTTGAGTTGAATGCCTCAGTCAATGTAAATCATTTTTGAGTTATTATATGTAATTAGGCTTAGGCATGTAGTGTACAAATGGAGGAGATTCAGCACTGCCATTGCTATTATGTGTGGTTGTCCAAATAAAACTATGCCAAGAAAAAAGCATATAGGTCTACAGGTGAAGAAGCAGCTATACGGATCTACAGACAGCTCTTGCATTGGTCTCTGTCAGTTATCAATATTGCATTGGCAAATTTTACTCCAGAAGAGTGAACTGGCTGTCCGTGAGCTGAAGTTTAACAGTTATGAAATGTATAGTGCCTTCAGGAAGTATTCAGTTTACTCCCTTGAGTTTTTACATATTGTTTTGGGTATATCTCTCAATGTTATACCCCTAAAGTGTTTTTTTCATCCCTGAATAACACAATCATTCAACATTTAGATTATAAACCCAAAACACTTACAGTCATAACCTTGAGCATGTTAGTCAAGGCAGTCAAATCAAGTCTTCGCAAATCCCATTGTACTGTACAATTTGTCTTTTAGTGCCTTTGAGGTCATAGCAGTCCCTGTTGATTAATTTGAGAAATAATGAAATACAATAAATAATAAACATGGATGTGCAGTATGCGTTGAATAAAGTTAACAAAGGGTTGTGGAAAATATAAATATGCAAATGTTTTTGAGTAAAGTATGCCAAGTCAAATTGAGGCCATTCAATGCAAGTCTCTTGAATAGAATATGCTAAAGGCAGACCGCACATTACCTTGACTCAGGTTTCATCAGATGCCAGTTTTATTACAAGAGTTTCAGGTTTTGTTTTAGCCTGTTGCGCAACAAAACCCCATCTATGACGCAACAAAACCAGACCTCTCCATCTGAATAGAAAGCACACACATCTTCTATCTAGTATAAACATGGATAAACATGTAGATTAACTTTTAAGGGAACTACATTTTCTATTAAATGTTTGCATTTAATAACATCTGACCTTAATTTTGACTACTGTGAGACTTATCATATTTATTATGGAAGGCATAACGTCTTTGGAGGGTTGGGATCCAATTAGGCCATTTCCAAAATAGAAAAGGTGTTGGGAGGTACATACAAGACAGAAAATGAAAAAGGAGAAAGATAACCAATAGGACAACAACAGTCACAATTAAATTGTTTTAACGGACCCATCATTCACATGGCTTCTAGCAGACTCCAGGCACGACTTATGCCTTACTCAGTGGCTGGTGTCGTAGCTGGTCTCCTGGTCACTTGTGTGTTAATTGCCCTTTTTTTCCACAGGCAGTTTCTTGACTGGCAGCCAGACTGATCTCTTGTTTAAAAAAAAACACAGATGTATCATGTTGGGTAAACACCCATAATGCATAAGTAATTTTCAGATTTTCTACATAATTTATGAGTACTACAAAATTGCTTTTACAGGAGCGGAAGAAATCCAATTTACAAATGCTTTAGTGACAAAACAAGAAGCAATCAATGTGTGAATTACATTTAAAGCCAGTAAGTAAATCTTAGACTTAATGGTGATGTCAAGCAGTTTTGCCTCCTCCCATCTGATATGCCTGATTTTTGGGAAGCAGATATTTCAAAACATTGTGGTGTGAATGAGTTTTTTTTATTTTTTATGGGAAATTGACCAATATCTCTTATTTACAAATGCTTGCAAAGAAAGCATTTGTTTGCTTAAAATCAATATCAAAATCAATGTACCTGGAGGTACTCTTTTCTTGAGAAAAATAAGTGCACTTAATTTTATTGAACATGCACTTGTAGTGTACTTTAAAACTTTAAAAAGTAAAAAAAAAAACTTCTTAGATATTATATTATTAATGAAATAAAAGTCCACATCTGTAGTTTTTTTTGCTTCATCGGAATGGGATGACACTTGGTGACTTTTGTCGCATTAGCTATGTGAACACACACAAAAACAAATCATGGACATGACTTGGACATGTTTGCACTTTGGCTCCTTCGCTGTCAAAAATGACCGATATAGGAAATGAAAGAGAAATATGAAAAAATACGAAACCTCAGATAATCTTTTGGTGGTAAAAACGTACAAATCAGTCCCCAAATTTTAAAGCTGCTGTAGGTTACATTTGTAAAAAAATATTTTTTTTACATATTTGTTAAAACTGTCATTATGTCCTGACAGTAGAATATGAGACAGATAATCTGTGAAAAAATCAAGCTCCTCTGGCTCCTCCCAGTGGTCCTATTGCCATTTGCAGAAATACACCGCTCCCAGTCAGAAACAACCAATCAGAGCCAGGAGGAATGTCTTAGCAGTGTCAGTCACGCTCGTGTACGCGCTGATCACACCCCTCTCTTGCACAGCGCGTACCGTCGTTCAAACTAAACTCAAGATTGCCAGTGTGCCGCAGCTGTGCTAATGGCGGAGAAACAACCTAAACTGCCAATTTCTCGAGTGACACCTGCTCATAAAACAAAGAGGTAAAAGGAAAAAGGCAGATGACGATAAACAAGCGAAAAAGAAAGAATTAGACAGAGCCCATTGACTCGGTTTCAAAACTCTAGCCGCGCAACATGTAGATAAAATGTCACGCACTCTGCTAAGCAACAATTGAAACTGGCTAATTCATTGGCTTGTCATGTTTCTGAAATAATGTACTAGCAAACCTTATAGCATTAGGCCTACACATCGCTAGAATAATTACTTACATACTGTTACGTTAGTTACCGTTATATTATCTTACTAGCTATTTATAACTTATAGAAAGGGTGCAATGTTATAAAGTTACATTCTGTATTGCAAAATACGTAATGATTTGAGGACCAAGTTTGTAGTCAAAGTATGGGCAGGCCTTAGTCAATGTAAAGCATATTGTTGATGTTTCGTCCCTACTAGTGAATGTGCCGTAACTGTTTATCCGCCGTCATCGGTGGCCCTGCTTACCAGCCTGCGTGTTCACGGCAGGCTCCGCTGTGGAGGACGAGCTGTGGAGGGAGGGCTGTAGCGCAGCAGAGAGCAAGGGGGAGGGACCTGTAAGTTGTGCTTGTTCAAATTTTCAGGCTAAGTCAACGTTTTCTCAAAACTCCCTACTGCAGCTTTAAAACATCTCATGCAAGTTTCAATAGAAATCACATTAAAGTAAACTAAACTATAATAAACTTAAATTATAATACATTTTCATTTCATTGCAATTAACATGTGATCAAGTGCATTCAGTTCACATTATTATTTTAAAGTAAACTATTATTTTAAAGTATTATCTTAGTAATATCTTTAAAAAAAAGGTGTGCTAAATTGTACTTCTTTTTCACAAAGTCTCCAGGTTTGTACTGTATATTTTTCTAACAAGTGTATAATTGGTGTTTTCAAACACTATGTGAAAGTGTATGCTCCTAATATGTTGATACACCTTGCTTGCGGAGAAGGTCATGCTTTAGACTGAATTAATGCAGCACTACACATAATTCTGTAGCATTAACAAGCTTTGTCTCATCACTGAAAGCATGTTATTAGGACCCGCGTTGTTCTTGCTACCGTGATGAATAAAATTCAATCTCTCATGCCATGAGTGCACTATAAACCACATTGTCAGAAAGTGTTCAGGGACACTCTGTTTCAGTTTTCA